AAATTGATCGTTAAGTAAGTGCGACACCGAATTGTGCACTTCTAAGGATATCAAGATGAGAAACTCACAATATTGTGTTTGTAATCCATCATTCTGGTCTAAAACGAGAAATGAGAACATCGGTGATGACGCGAGGGAGGCCAGATATGGAGCAGTTGCTAAGGTAAAACTTCCTCTGGTATTGTTACGTTCCTTTTGATAAATATTCATATGTGTTACAAATCTATTTGTTCAACCACGAAAAGCCTTCAATCATTATTCGTTTCCTTATCATGGCAATTATGGATTTGGAATTTAAAGAGTGATATGCTCATGGAGTGAAGTTCGCAGTTGAATTGGTTTCAAGTTTTGAACTCCAAGTATTTCTCATATTTTGGGAGACGTCTCATTTGCGCATAACCCACGTAAATTCTGCTTAAATGCATCTTTTACCCTCGTAAGAAAGAAGGTTTTCCACTCTTTGCTCGTTCCAGCTATTCTGCGTAAGCAGGAATTGCCATAATCTTCTCGGAAGAGTGGTATCCATCGAAGGAATTCTGCTGCCAGTTTTGTCTGCTTCCTGTATGAAGTTATCTTACAAATCAAATTCTTCCACAGATCTACTATTTGCAGCATTCGTTCTGGAGTTCGCTGGAGAAGGATCCGGAGCCGTTACCAGGCGCACCGTCCGTAAGTGGAAAGAGGTGATTATGCTTCAACATGTAGTAAATGGTACGTTGATTGTTGTTAATTGCAATTGACAGTTTAGGTTTTGAGGGATTACTTTACCCCAGATTTACTTCGGAACTACGATATTGCAGTAATGGCTGAGGCTTCCAGTAAGCCTGTTCTGTATTCCTCTTACGCAGAATCTTATGTTAAACTTCTTTGATACATGTTAGCTTGTCATATCTCAACTTTGTTGTCCTTATACTGAAGTAATCACTGTAAAACGGCTTCCTTGTCCGTATTGCTAATTGCTCTCTTTTGTAGTTTAGTGGTGTTAAGCATTCTTAATAACATTAACTGATGCCCTTATAATTTGAGTGTTATTAGGACTTCGCACTCTCCCTTATGAATTATAACTTCATACTTTGTGTTAGATTACTCACCAACGCATAGCGACTGACTCGCAAAATGGTGCAGCAGCAGTGAGTCAAACTTTGTAGATGTCTCTCATAGATAATGGGTAATTAGATATCTATTCATCTGCTGTAACTGACTCGCAAAATGGTTCAGTAGGAACAACCAAAATGCTTCATCCGAAAAGCCTTTTAATTGTTCCCACTGCACCATTTTGCGAGTCAGTTGCAGCAGATAGATAGATATCTAACTGTCCAGCTTGATCTTAGTATCTTTGATTGTAGTATTTCACTTAAATTTATTCTGAAATGTATATAGTACCTCTGCTTATCCGAAACAATAGTGAGACATAATTGCCTATGTCTCACTATTGTTTCGGATAAGCCTGCGATTTCAATAACTGCATTGGCTTATTATGCGAAATAAAACAACATATATCTATCGCCTCCTCACCATCTTTGAAGGTTGCACATAAAAGCATGTACGCACATGTCATTGATTTCGCAGATTTGCCGCCAATTAATCGACGATTGTTCCACATTTTCCCAAGAGTTTCTCACATAATTCTATATCAAATTTGCTAATACCAGCGTATTTGTCACTTTGTTGCTTACATTTTGAGTTTTGCTTTTGCAATCCCTTGTAACACTCCT